CAGTATCGTAAACATTATTTGACCAGGCAATTGAAATAATTCAGAAGATGGGCAAAGGCGCATTGATTTGCAAGGTGGACTTGTTAAGTGCTTTTAAGCTACTGTCAGTTCTCTTTTCAGATTTTTGCCTTTTGGAGATTCTATTTTTTGCTAAATCATTGCCAGTAAGTAGCTATAGGCAGGTTATTCCGGGTATAAGATATTTGTGGGCCTTGCGATGAGGTGCATTTATCAATACCACTTTCTTGTTATACAAAGGCCAAGTTATCATTGCATACCGCGTACGCGTTACGCAGTAGTTAGAACGTTTGCTCTAGAGTCGCAGAGTAAGGAGATGAGAGATTCGAATCCACTGTGTGACGTGGAGGCTGGTCCTTCGGATGAGACCGTATAAACCGAGGTCCTGTGTCGTAGTAGGTGCTGGCACGAAAAAGATCCCTCACTGCTCAAAGGCCCTAAGTGCCGAGTACAGGTCTAAATTTGAAGCCCTCCACTGGTAAGTGGTGGCGTCTCAATATGAGTGAAACATTCTCGAAGGGACATTTAACAAACGAACGAACAAACAATCAAACACACACTGCATAATTATCATTGTGCCCATTTATCATTGTATATGAATGTATCAGTATTTACCTAATGTACATCATTGTATTGATGATTTTTCTCGTGTATTACGTGTAATTAATAAAGGTATGAAAGAAACAGCCAATCATCTTTAATCTATTTTATCTACATGATTACTTCAAAACCATTAATAGGACTTATTGTTCTTTGCCTATACCCAGAACAGAGTGCACAACATTATGATAGGTTGCCCCCTCCCCCCTTCTCCAGGACATCTGCCAAGTTTATCGAATATTGAATGAACCCTTCGGACTTGGTGAGTATTGATATTGTACTCCTAGGATGGCTAAGTCATCGTATTGATCTCAAAAAAGCAATAATTGTATATAATATTGCTTTTCATTGGGCTAGAATATTAAATATTAAAAGAATACATTGTACTGAATTGTATTGAATAATACACGTATATGTATATATACTTTATCGGTTGGATATGATCTACTACGGTTTTTAGATTCTCTGCCCGACCACTTTTTTTCGAAATTATTGGGTCGGCTTCTGCATTATGAAAATGTGTGCGCAATAGAGTCTCCTACAGCGCCGAAACTGTTACTCGGTATCCCCGAGTACCGCGGATGGGTCGCCTAGAATGCCACACGGTGGTGCGCATTTTGAGCTCTGCGTTCTGATATACGAGGGGTGATCTAAAAGTTCGCAAACTATCTCTATAATTACAAAACCACAATTCAGATCAGAATGAAATTTGACACACATATAGTCATACATATGTTCTATAAATAGCAGATGGTATGTAATGTTTTGCTCGATGTTTGTGACGTCACAATGTGAAAATGACGTCAATATGTAGGTGACTTGTTACAAAAAATGGTTCACTCAGTCGTTCGAGCAACGAACGACTGTAAAGTTTAACGTATATCTTGGAAATTCCTTTGCAGTAGCATATAATATTTTGTACAAGGTTTACGAAGACAAAAGACTTGCCAGAGGTTCAATCAATAATTGGATTGATTGTTCTAGTGAAAGAAGGGAGATGGTTAAAAATGATGTTTGTTTTGTTGCTATGTGAAAGCAAGCTGAGGAAGAGATGTATCCTTAGCAATTTGATTTGAAAGATCGCCAAGTTACAGTTAGAAAAATAGTTGAATATCTTAATAATATAATTATTAAATCCCTAAATTATCGTTTACTATAGACTTTAAACATATCAGGTATTATAAAAAGAAGGCGCCCACACTATATCTATTTTTGATAAACGACGTTCCTAAGACAGAGAACTCGGGAAAAGGATATCCTTATTCACACATCCTATTTCCGAGATCTGGCCATTTCTGACAAATGGACTGTTTTTGTTATAAAATATAACTTGCATGGAAAAAAAATATAAGACTCGGAAAAAATCTTTCCGCTTCTGTGAACAGAACGCTACGGAGCATGTCACGTGACAGCCTGGATCACGTGATTCGCGCATGGGCAGAACGGTGGCAAATGTGCATTAAAATCGGAGAGGACTACTTTAAAAAATAATAAACACTGAAACCTAATATCATTTCTTTTATGGAAGTAATTCAATAAGTTTGCGAACTTTTTGATCACCCCTCGTACAAGCAGCAGAAAAGGCCGTAGGGTCACCGTAGCAGCGGAACAAGGACTCAAATGCGAGTGTAACCCTGGTCAAAATATTGAAGAGGAGGAACCTGACCATGGGGTTTGAGGGTTTGGAGTTATAAATCACTATTGTATGATTATAAAGGGTTCCCTCATTTCATCATGAATTACATTCATATAAATGTTCGAAAAATTCATTAAGGTTCCACAGATAGGTGCTTGTATGTTTCATGATTTGCTAAATAAATTTCAGTGATAGCTTTTGTTACAGTTTGATGAAGGAAAATTATGAATGTCCTATCTACATTATGTTGTAAAAAATTCTTGTCCTATACCCTAATGAATACTGAAAAAAGTGTCTGTTCCTTCTCACTTTACATCGATCCCACCCTCCATGGTGATAAATATTGCTTGATTCTTTTGTAAATACACCCTTTAAACATATTAATTGTAGGTAAAATCATTATGAATGATTAATTATGAGCAATATAAAAGATGGCGACATTTTTAACATTTATAAACGAATGCAATCATCTGGACTTTTTATCTTTTTATTTGGATGTTGGGGTGTATTGCAGTCCTGCATTTTGTTTTTCATGTTTGTCATAATTTTTTGAAAATTTCTTGTTTTTCTGTTAGAATACTTAATTATTACAGGGGCATCTTAACTCCACTTCCTTCGCTGTAGATTTTGAACCAGTGTGTCACATCACCATCTGCATCAATTGCTCGATAATAGTTTTGAACGTTTTCTACAACATCAGTTAATACCTTAGACGAAAATTCTTTAATTATATTCAAATGAAGTGGCATCTCCCTGTATCTCTTTGAGGAGAATACAAGTACATGTAGTTGTATTTAAGAAAGGAAGAAAATATTTGGCAAATTTGGCATAAATATTAGTATAATTAGGACTCAATAAAGAATGCATAACTATAACATACTTTATTTTGAAGTTTCCCTCTTATAAATTGAGTGATATGTACAGGGGTTACAATCATAACCGTTAAAGATTTTGAATATTACAATATTTGCATACATTTATACAGATTAATTGTTTCCTTCTTCCTAAAAATGTAACTTACATGTACTTTTGATTTTTTTTAAAGGGGGGGGGGGCGTAAACAATATATCAGAATGTCAAAATGGAAAACTTTAAAGTTATGTGGCTTTATTTAAAAGTGTACAATACATATTTTCTTCCTCCTATATCTTTTCATTCGACACCAATCATATGTATTAAATTACCGCTCAAACTCTAAAAAAAAAGAATAGGAAATAGAATTTTAAACACAGAATGCCAAAATGGAAAACTTTAAAGTTATGTGGCTTTATTTAAAAGTTTACGATACCTGTTTTTTCCTGCTTTATCCCTTCATTCGACACCAATCATATGTATTAAATTACTATTCAAACTCTAGATAAAAGAATAGGCAGTAGAATATTTAAACAGATGAAATACTTAAATGTTTTATTGTAACATTATTTGGACCTAAGCTGCCAATACAAGACATGTATAATGGTGATACCGTTAGGACTGGTTTTCCTTGTTCTGTTGCGCGGATCTAATGGTAAGCTTGATGATTAAATATTTTCATACCTAGAATAATATATCTTTCGAGTTCAGACATCTTTTTCATAATTTTCATTCTCAAGAAACGGACCAATGTATACGTACGTTGTTTTTATCAATAATCGGGTTTGAAAAGTGATGCTTTTTTAACTTTCAAAAAACCCTAAAGATCTGTCAAACTAGATACTTTGAACATTTTAAAGTAAATAATTTATCACCGAGGGAAAAAATCGAAACTCTGTATGTTTTCTTCTTATACCCTCGCAGTCGAACATTCGGGGGAATATAGTTTTTGCTCTGCCCGTATGTCTGTCTGTCTGTTTGCCCGCAAAAACTTTAACCTTCCCCATAACTTTTGATCTGATAGAGCTAGGGCTATCATGTTTAACGTGTATTCTGTGTGAAAACACCTTTCGTTGTGTACCAGCATATTTGACTTTGGAGTTTGACCCACTTAAATTTCGCAAAATTTGACCAAAATTTAACCTTGTCCATAACTTCTGAACGGTTGTTGATAGTGCTTTTATACTTCACTTGTGTATTCCTTGACAAGCAAACAAAAAGTAAACTACCTAAATTCAAAAATCCTATTTGGAGTGGGGGGGGGGGGGGTCTCTAACCTTTTGATACATTTTTTTCAATTGCAAAAAGTGGGGAGGGGGGGGGGGGCAACCAGCATCTAACTGAAACTTTCCATTTTAAAGTAACTAGTATAATTATAGGGTCTGCCACCCACCACCCCCGGGCGTTCTACGGGCCTTGATAAGACCTTTGCTTGGGTACAAATATATTTGACCTACATATAAAGACAAACTTTGGTCAAAACTTTTGAATGTTTTGTGCTAGGGCTTTCATATTTCACAGAAGTACCGGTATTACTTGTGACAAGACCTTTCTTTTATCTCATGACCTTGGGCATTGAGTTTCACCTAGATTTGAAAACCTTTAACCTTGACCATGCTGCAAGGGCTTTCATATTTCACATGTGTATTCCTTGTGACAAGATCTTCCTTTGGGTACCAAAATATTTGATCTCTTAACCTTGAAGTTTTATTTGCATTTGAGAAACTTTAACCTTCGCCATTAATTGACATACGGGGGCATCAGTGTTTTATAAACACTTCTTGTTTGAAAATTGATAATGATAGACAAATTTTTATATACCCCTGCAAGAGATGCTGATTAACGAATTTGAACTTTGACTTCCTGTATGTTTGTGAAATTTAAGGTTACCTAAACGACTCTGAACCCTGTACGTCAGACAATACGTCTGTGGCAGTAGTCGATCAAGATGTGTCCTGTGTTTTGCCACATGTAATCTTCAATACGTCGGATATTTGGACTCGATTTCAGCTTGCGGATGGACGACCACTTGTACTGTCGGACAAATGTATTTGTGCATCTACATGTGCATGGTTTCTAAACGGTAAGTTGATTTTAAAATTAAAATAAATAGTCATCTTGTTTGAAATAATAAGTTTATTTTTACTTTGCTTTTTAGACACACTACAGGCAAATGGAACAAAATTGCTGAGAGTGGCTTCTCAATGTTATGGAGGATGGTACTTAAGAGTCAGGAAATGTGACGGGTTTTTCGTGTTGTTCTTGGATTCATTGTCTTATTTCTATTCCTCGATCAGTGGTGAAACGGTATGTGTAGGTAAGATGAATTTTTCAACTTGAAGTACCTGCATGTGAGATTTTGAAATAAAGACTAATAGTGGAGTGACAAGACCATCAAAATTTTGAAATCAATGCACCACCCTACCCTACGGCTAATTTGTACTTTTTTGGAAAGGTATATTATTAAGCAATTATTTTCGTCCGGTGTAAAGACGAATAATGACCCCCATAGAATAATGACCGGGAGTCATTTTTCGACGTCGAATAATGACCCCCGGTCATTATTCAACGGCGAAAAATGACCCCCGGTCATTATTCAACGTCGAAAAATGACCCTTTTGCCCATAGAAAGAGTGTCATCACCCTAAAAACCTGCATACCCCACGTGAAGAAAAATGACCCCCGTAGAATAATGACCCCTTGTGAATTAAAGCGGATTAAAGTTGAAACTTTTAGGGGGCAAAATAAAAATAATAAATCAAGAGACCTGTTGGCCAAAATGCTCACTTGAGCTTCATTGCAAATAAATCGATGATATATTGATCTCATTACATTATACAATCATTGCTGTTTTTAACGTCAATTCAATGATTCAGAATCTAGTGGACTTAAAGATTTATCGAGTCCAAAGGGCGAGGAGAGCATTGTTTTTCGATGGTGGAAAATCACTGATCGTCCTGACAGAAAAAACAGCAATAATTGTTTTATTATATGATTCAACGAATAAATTGATACAAACTGATTAAGCAGACATGTCAAGTTTCTTGTTTACATTTGCTCAAGTCCTAACCAAACACAGTGAAAGAATAGGAGTTAACATAAGCATAACCAGTATTAATTTTGCATTTGAAATCTAGTTTTGGTGCAATGTAAAAATAAAATAAATGTAAAAATGTTTTTTAAAAAAATAAATGTCAGGCAGAATGGCGCATTATAAGAGGCAAAAAGTACTTTTAGTTAAAAATATCTTTGATGAACCCCTCAAAAAGTTTATTGATGTAAGTGGGATTTTCTTTTACTCTACTGTATCCAAAAGTTAGGGGTAGGACAACCAGACTTGCAATGACTATTTTCAAGCGGAAAAAAAAAATACGTTCATGGAAATGGAAGGGGGTGGACACCCCGTCCCTGATTCTATGTGCCTGAATGTTATGTTCATCTTGTTCACTCAAGTAGGAGAGGTTTTCTAACTATACTGTATAAGAAAGAAGGGGTGGGTATAAGACTTTCAATGAACATTTTCAAATTAGAAATTGCTAAAATTTACATTCAGAAAAGGGGTAACAATCCCTCCGATTCTTTGTGCCTGAATATTATGTTCACTTGAGTAGAATTCAGATGCAGGTGAAATAACTATTCAGAATTGTTTTCAATCTATTTTTAGTTCAATGTAGGAAAAATAAATCCTTATACATGTATTCACCTTGAAGGTCAATAAAAAAGTCTGTCTTTAATTATAAATTGAAAACATTAATCTATTTCAATATACACTGTATTGAAAATGTTTCCATATTGATTTGACAAATGTATCAGTTTTGAAGTGGATCAAAAAATATTCCTCTTACATGTATGTATCATATTCTCAGGCGATCATGTTACATTGTAACAGACTTGAATGTACATTTTACTGGGATTCTCCTGTACGTATTACTTCTATATACTTGAAAAGAAATTCCCATAGAGTAGACCACTGTTTATAAATAAAATTGAAGACACATTATAAGATTGTATATATTTCAGACATGGAGAAATTTTATGTCCTTCTTATGTTTGTCACGTCTGCTTCATATTTGGACGTTCTACTGACTATAGACGATAAAGACCAACTAACAACTAAATTGTCTGACAAACGGGATGACTTCAACCTTTTCTATTGTCAATTTTCCTTATTTATGAAGTAATATTCTGCAATCATTTGCATGTAATGTTTACGTCTACCAACTTTTTCGATACCCAAGAGCACGATTAATTTTTAAATCGAGGCAGGCTACTGACAGACACATGTAAGTTGATGATACAGGGGTTTCAACAACCAACAGCATTTCGTAGATTCAATGGTCGTATCAATGACCCTGTCAACAAATATACATGTAACCTATAATTGGGTCAATTGTTTGGCCCTTGTTTTTATACTAAATTCGACATCGGAATGTCCCGTTTACCTGACTTATTCATAGCGCTCAAGGCGGGTGTGACGGGACAACAGGAAATGCTTACTCTTTCTAGGCACCTGATCCCATTTTCGGGGGTCCTTTTTTATGCCTTGTTAACAGAATTGTACTGCTTGTGGACATTATAAAATCACCACTCTTCGTTATCCTCACCATTTTTTCATTAAAAAATATATATATCCCCAGTATGTCGTTCACACGAGTTATTACGTCAATTATTTCGATACATTCTACCTCATTTGCACGACTTTTTATGTCATTCAAAATATACATATGTATTACATTGCATAACTTTCCGTATTTATTTCTGAAAACTTATTTCATTCTTTTTTTCCATTCATTTTTTTTTAAAAAGTTGATCCTACTCAAAGCATGCTGATTACTTTGGGAGACATGTTTACCAATGAAAAGCCAAAACATCCCGCTTGTCTGTTATTTAGCTATGAATGTCTATAATCTGTCAAATATCTAAATATGAAACAAATGGAAGACAGTCATAAAGGGAAATTGCGTTAACAGTTATAACCAATAGTAGCCATTTTACGATTTTCAATATGTGCTGAAAAGGCTTAAAAGATAGAAATATGCAGGTAAATGTAATTCCATTTTAATTGCGCGTTCGTCCAGTGTTGGTCAAAAAGGGCATAAAGAAGAATATCAAACATTGAGGTTCAAACCTTGGCATCAATCACCCGTTATAAATTTTGTATCATGCACTCTGTTGGAAAGGGGGTCATTTTTCAACGGGGGTCAATTTTTTATAGGACGCACACATAAAAAAATTACCCTTAGGTCTCTTTTTCTACAAAAAAAATAATTTTTTCTACGGCTGGGGGGTCATTTTTTGTCGTTGAAATATGACCCCCCGGTCATTATTCTATGGGGGGCATTATTCGTCTTTACACCGGTCGTAGAAAAATCTATGGTCAAAATTTAAAATAATAGGAGGTTAAAGATCACTGATTGAAATCTGACCATAATAATGAACATATCTAAAAAGCTTAAGGAATTCGTAAATTTTCCCAGATTTTGCAAGAAATTTGTATGGAAAATTGATTCTTACAGTGAAAATATGAATATTATATAAAAGAAGGAAAATTCGAACCGTAATGATATTGTACAATCAGACAATATTAAGACAGGTGCAAGTATAAACAGTAATTAGGAAATCATAAAGGACAATACCCCCCCCCCCTTTCACCTCAACCCCTAAAGTACGAAATATGACTAAATTTTGAGTTTTGTTGCTTTGTAGTAATATTTTTATTTAAACATTAAACATCAAGTTTTGAATATATTGAACTCTAAAAAGACATTTTCTGTTCCTGAAGCATATTAATCATCTATATGACGTCATACACGTTAATAAAGCATAATAATTAACGTTTTTTGTTTTGTTTATAATTATAGATTCGTTAAACAACTTTATGAATATGAAAGCAGTTTTATCAAGGGTCCTTATACTTCGAAATATACAGGTGTATGCTCGCTGCATAAGGCCTTTGGACATATAGGGTACTTTTAGAGGTCACACCTGTGGTCACAATACAAGAGCCAACCGAGTGCTAAAACTCTTGATATTTTTCGTCTCCCTCATACAAATTGCCAAAAAAAAAAAATATTGATTCTTGTCTATGTTTCGAAAGATTAATATAAACTGATGAGATTTCGAATAAGCGTTAATTCGTAAATTCTGCCTGTTATGTACTCGTATGTGAGGATTTAAGAGCAGAAAGATTTTGGAATTGTATCGGCGATATTGTAGACATTCTATGAAACGGGACAAAGAAAGCATTTTTATTTTATTGACGATATGCATTTGTTAGAGCTGTAATTTCTCTATCTTGTTCACAATTACGTCACTCTACAAGGATATGTTTCATTTGAAAAGCAGAATAGAAACTTGATTGAGCTCACAAAACGATACTCCCGCTCCAAAAGGAGTTTTCGTCCGGTCGGTGATTCTTTAAAAATACCATCGATATTCATTCAGAGTTTAAGAAGGAACTGCGTTAACAAAATGGATACCCCATTTGACAAGAATAATGGCAAAATCCATGTTTTGATATAAGAAATCCCAAATATCTTTCTGATCAAGACGTAAAATTAAACGTGCACAACACAACGGTTTAAAAGAAAGATTAAATATGTGAAAATCTAATAAAATTTTATTCAGTTGTATAGGATTCAGAATAAAAGATGGATATTGGGAAACCCCGATTCCGATGGAAACATAAAATAACAGGTGCTTATTATTAGGCAGTTTGTATTAAAGATTCTATATTAAATACCATAAATTTGCAAGAGGAATTGCGAATAAGGGATGTCCACCCCGAGTGTGCCGGATATACTGATGGTCAATACTCCAATCACTTGTGTACCCCCCCCCCCCCTCTTTTCAAGAGTAAGTAAAGTATGTGATGCATGATCTTAATGAAATATAGTCTTTCCAATGATATACTCAAATATTACCTACATTTTTTGTGAATGTTTCAATAGCACTTTATATAGTTCTTCTCTTTCTATTTCATACAACTTAACATCGCATTTGCATTGCTTACGATGCAGAAAGCAATCTCTAATCACTGTTCAAATAGAAACATGAAATGAAAGTAGCATGCTTGGCCTTTACGTCTTCTTTAATTGAAAAATAAAACAGAATAATTACATTCAAATGCTTATTGATTGAAATTCAGACTTCATTTGGCGTCTTAAGGAGAAAAATTGAAAGTTTGTCAAAACTTGCATATTTTCTCCGGAAATTGAGTGCTTATTTAGATTTGAATTTGGTCTTTTTAAAACTTTAAGGTGAATACAATGAAACTTTTTAGCCTTTTTGATTAAGAGAAGAAGACAATTTAATATT